TGTACTCCCCCGGGTTCTCCCCTTTTTTTTTTTTTTTTTTTTTTTTTTTTTTTTTTTTTTTTTTCCCCTTTGTGAAAGCTCCTGGGCGATGGCAGAGAGCATCTGCTCTGGGAGGGGAGGCTTCCCCCAGCTCCCTGGCTCACACCCTCCCGCACAAGACCTTGGATGCATTTTCTGCAGCTCAGGCGGTTTTACAGGGCCCTGGGTGAATTTTGCCCTCCCTGATTAGGTAACCAAAGGAGCAGTGACTGTACTCTCTAGGGAGAAGATGCTGTCTCTTCCCTGCCAGAAGGACAGCTGGAGGGAGGGTGGGATTTTCAGCATGCAAGCACTTAGCCAGATCAAGGAAATGGGATGCAAAGCATTTTAGGCTAAGAAAGGTTGTTGTGCAGGGAAACATGAGGCTGCTGTTCTGTTCGGGAGATAACGCTTCTCAAAATGCTCCTGCGTGCCAAACTGCAACCCTTACCTACAGCCGGGCATTGCCTCGTTAAGGAAAACACTCATGACAAGTCAGAAAAAAATCCCATCACTGTCTTTGCTGAAAAACTTTGATCATTTAAGTATTATTGATGCACATTAACCCCAGCAGAGATGGGCTGGGTGGTGGGAAGTACTTCACCTTGACACGAGGAAAATATGGTGCTTTCTGTTGCCTTGGCTTTTGCCTTGGCTTTTGTTTCATGTATCAAATCAGAGCTTAGCCAAGTGAATCAGCTCAGGAAGCATTTAAGATTTATTTGATTTTGGGGAAGGTAGAGCTTTCCTTGTCTTTACCAGCTGTGGGGGGAGTAAGCGTGGATAAAAACAGGAGGAGCGTTTAAAGGAGGGATCTATAATTAACAACCCCTCAGAAGGGGAACTTTCCTTTTAACTTACTGTTAAAATGGAAATGTTTGAGAGTATGCGGTTTTGGCTCTGGGGATCTCCTCCGTATCCTTGACAGAGCCCTGCGAATTCCTCTAATCCCTGCCCGGGAGCGTTGTCTGTGCTTTAAAAACAACTCCTGCCACCCCACGGAGGGCTCGCCTCAACCCATGGATTGATTCCCATGGGAAGCCCCAGCGTTGCCCCCCCGGCCTTGCTGGGGGCAGGTGGCAACTGGGAGGGGAGCTCCCTTCCCACGGTGGGGCTGTGTTTCCTCGGCAGCCCCGAGCCTCACGCCGGGAGGAGATGCCTTCCACAAGCGCTTTTTAACCTGAGGAAGGAACGTGTCACTTCTAATGGAGCTGACAGCAGCAGGGAGGGTTTTTAGGTTAGTGGTTGAAGAACACACTTGTAATGAGTGAAGTAATTGAATAAATGCTGACAATTTGATGTGGAAAATGCATAATCAGCTAGCTGTGGAAGGTTGACTTGTTCTTTTTTCTCTCTTTCTTCAGCACTGGGATAAACACGTTTATTCTCTTCCAAGCAGGTGATGTGTTCCGCAGCAGAAAGCGGCAGACACACGCACATGCTTCCCTCCCAGGCACACATGTGCTGATCGCCAAATAATTGACCCAGTTATGCTAATATGCTATTTGCATCACTGGAACTTAATAAATACATGTATAATCAATCTCAGCGCTTAACTTGCTCTTGAGTTGTGTGCTGGTGGAATGCTCACTTCAGTCGTTCCCCTGGCCACAGCCCAGATTACGTGGCTGTACCCGTGCCGGGGAGAAAGGTGGCAGTCCCTTGGGCCGATGCAAATGAGGCCACGCCAAGCAGCACTAAGAGCTGATGATGCAGGAATAACTGGGAGTCTAACTGGCTTTTCAGATCCCAAACACAGCCAATAAATTGTGGAGGTAGACAGTGGAGCCAACCTGTTCCAGTGCAGTGACTTCCCTTACTCAGCCATCACCTGAGATTTATGCAGGTGGAAACTCAGTGAATTCCTTGTCATCAAGCCCCCAGTTTTAGGCAGACAATGGGAACAGCATCATCTGTGCCATGTATGTTGGAAGCAATGAATAGAGAGCTGAGCTCATTAATCTATTTGCATATTGAAGATATGGAAAAAACCTCTCTTCTTGCTTACTCTCCTGCCTACTCAAATATCTGTGAAAGGAGGAGGAGAATATGGGTCCTCTTTGTACTTCAGGTCTCAGCGCCCTTCAAGAAAGGAGCGATGGCTCGGTCCAGCCTGCGGGGATGCACGCGAGACTCATCACTAGCTGCGGTGACAAAAGCTCTCCGCATCTGCAGGCTGGTGGGCAAAAGGCAGCCCCTGGATTAAGAACAGTCATCAAGGTGGATACTTTGACTTTATGTCATCAGGACACCTTCTCCACTCCACATCTGAATCAGCACTTGCATATCTAGGGCACAGAGGTTTGACCTGCCAACTGTTAAATAAATTATGGCATACTCCCCCCAAACTATTAGCATGGAACGGCACATACCCACGGGAGAGACAAGCTAAGGACGCAGCGGTTCACAAGCACGATGAGCTGTAGGAGCTTTCCCTTTTGGATAGAGTTGAAAGAGTTGTTTATTACTGAACTAGTAGCACGTAGCAGTTCATCCGTATCTTATGGAGGCACTGGGCTATGACTCCATAGCCAAGGCTGAGCTGAAGTTTTGGCTTGACTCTCCATTCAGCAGCTCTGGATTATCTTTTTAACTTGAACAGATAGTTTTCCTTTAGGTTATAGCTGTCTTAAGCAGTAGAGGCGAGACGCAGATCAGGCTTTAAGGGTTGGAATTTACATGCTTTTTCTTATGCTTCTGGTATTAATTTCATATGCAGTGGAAAAGTAATATCCTGTCTGTCACTAGAGAGGAAGAGCTGTGCGTGCGTGTATGCGCACAGTCATCGCTAACTGCTGAGCTTTTTCACTCGAATTTCGTTTTTGTGAAAATTTCTAAATTAAAATGAAAATCGGCTGCAGAAACGATGAATGTGAAATACCAATAAGGCAAAAGCATGAGATGTTTTCTCTTGTTTTCGTAACTCGTGGTCTTTGTGTGTAAGAGTGTATTGCATGGCAACTGCATTCACACTTCTCTTTAATAAAAGATCCTAGCAGATGGACCCACTATTAACGTGTATCCCCCAGATTTGCATATTTCATATTCATGCCAAGATGGCACTAAGCACACTTGGGACGAACAAGGCTGATATAAACACAATTGCACCAGATTAGTGCAGCGATCAAAGGGTATTGTCCTAGCATCCCCATTAGGAATCCAGTTTAATATTAGTTATTAATACTGTTAAACTCCTACTGGAGTCAAATTAAGGTCTTCCAAATACAGGCGGACAGGGCTCTTAGGTACTACAAGTTGATGAATATGTTATGAATTCCTGAGAGAGAGGGCTAAGAAACAGCATTTGCATCTGGGCTGTGAAGAATCCAGTGCTGGAAAAGTGCAGACATCAAGGTTTGGTCCAGCGTGCTATAGAATTAGGACTCACTTGAAATTCAGATCTTATCCAAGATCTGTATCTGAGTTTCTCAGAATTCAAGTGCAATCACATCTAGGCAGACGACAAGCCTATCTGTAATATCTTATCAAATATTAGGCATTACAAAGTGCTATTCTGCAGCCCAAAATATATTTGATCCCATTGTTCTAGTCCATTAATCAAACAGTGCGCTGCACATACTGATAGGATCGAGCATGAGGAAATATTTATGAATGAGCATTGTTGTGACTGCAAAAATTAAACACAGCAGGTTTTAAATACACAAGATCTCGAAAAGGAAAACTTGATTATCTCCTATATATTTGGTGCCAAATTCAGAGTGAATTTTAAGTGAATCTTAGGTAGGCTGTGCTTGAGTAATTTACACCTTCTTCCAGCTCCCTTCAGTGTGTAAATTATACCCGCTTCCACCGCTGTTGAACCTGACCCATTGCACCAAGGGTACTAATGAAATGCTGTAGCACCAGACCGTGCCATTCCAGCGAGACGGGGACTGTGCGCACACAACACGGTGGTACTCGGGGCGTACAGTGCTCAAACCCACCCACGACATCCCTGTGCTGTGGTCGGCATCTGCAGCTCTCGGGGGAAATAAGCCACTGCTTACCCACATCAGCACCAGCGCGATGGTGTTTCCACTGCTGCTGCCTGCTGGGTGGAAGCTGGACACCGTCAAGTCCTTCTTGGGTGCTGGGAGTTTTGTCCCTTCCTTTGATGGGGGTGGAATTTTGCTGGCTAGATCCAAAGGCAGGGCATTGGCATATGGTAGCCCCACAAGCTGTGGGTTTGTCAAGAATAAATCATGTCGAGGCAATCTAACTTTCCTGTGACAGGGCAGCAGGTCTCAGAGAGGGGAGAAGCTGGCGATGTGATACATCTTGACTGCAGTGAGGCTTTTGATGCTGTTTCATACGGCATTCCCAGGAGCAAGGTGGGGGAATACGGTCGAGGAGACATGCTGTAAGGTACCAGACTGGCTGGGAAAGCATACTGAAAAGCTATCGGCTGGTTATTGTTGAAGTGGAAGGATGGCTTGAGTACGGCGCTGCAGGGGTCTGTGCAGGGTCTGGTATTACTCAATATTTTCATTAGTGAGTTGGCTAATGGAATATGGAGTAGACTTATTGCATCTGCTGACAATACCAAGCTGAGAGGGGCTGCAAGTGCTCTCAGAGAACAGGAGAAAGATTCAGAAATCTTAACAAACTGAAGAAACAGGCTGGAAAGAATAGGCTGACGTTCGAAAAGGACAAGAGCAAAGCAGAATGTACGAGAACTATCGAAACGTGTGTCAGGAAACAGCTGCGTAGGCAACATTTCTAAGGGAAAGGAGTAATATCGTGGGCAAGAAATTAACCCTGAGCCGACTGTGGCACCCTGGCGTGCGAAAAGCAAAGCTGACACCGCAGTACGTAAAGAGAGCGTGGTATGGCACGCTGCTCCCATCCGTACGGAGTGTTAGGGAGGAGCAGTCTTGGGCATCAAACTTCCAGAAAAATACAGAAAATGAAAAGAACAGTCAGAGCTCTAGAAAACGAACCTTCCAAGAAGGAAAGGACTGCGGTCTATTACTTCAGGCTGATGAAAATACAGCGATAATCTTCCAAAATGTAAAAGATGCTACAAAAGTAATAAACTTGCCCACATCCACCAGGGTAGGATAGAAGCAGTGGGATTAGACTGCAGCAAATGGAATTTGGGTTAGACTTTGGGGAAGATGTTCCATCTGTAAGAATAGCTGACACCCAGAATAGACCGTCTGGGGAGCTTGCGGAATCTCCTTGAAAACCTCCAGGGATGAACAGGTTAGAGAAACTCCCATCGAGACCGATTTAGGCAGGGTTGATCCTACCCTGGGGGAAGGAGGTGGACTAGGTGACCTCTCAAGATCCCTTTTGCTCTTATTCTCTGTGGTTCTACCTGTATTTCGCGTGGCGGTGATCTCGTGAGAGCGGAGAGCTTGATTCTGCATATTGGCTAAAGATTTTACATTTAAATTAGGAAGTTTGTTTACTTGTCAGCCGGTTGTTGTTTCAGTTTAAATCTTACTAATTTAAGTTGAATACTGAATTATAAATTACAGTGATGGGTGTATGAGGAGTATCTGAGGAGACAGATACTGAAACCTATTAATCTATCGATTACATTGATTAGTGTTTAATTTAGAACAGCATATTCCTATTTTTAAATATGTTTTAAAAGACACTTCTTTTAAAAGAACTTTGTTTCATTGCAGTGCAGGAATTTTACTCTCTGATAGGTGTGTGTCCTTAAGCAGGCACCCAGAAAAAATTGATGTTGGCACACACAAAAGGCACAGGATGAAACCTTGCGCTACCACAATAAAAGGAAAGCATCGGTTTTTTAAATGAAGTCAGGCAGCGGTCTGGTTGCCAATTAATAACACATTACTGTTAAGTGATAGCTTTAAAAAAAAAAAGTTCCTGAGTTCTCATAATGGTTCTTGCTCCCCTTTCCTCCAAGCATTACACCGGCTGCTGGTTTACTGGAAGTGGAGTCCCTCCAGGCATGGGATACAGTGGCTCAGGGCCTGGCGATGAATTAGGATGCTGCACTGGAACTGGAAGGGGGGGATCTACGACACCAGAATGTAATTCCACAAATTAATTTGTTCAAGACCCAGGGGTTAGCACTAATTTTGCACTAAGTACCAAGAGAGCTTTAATGACCGCAAATAGCAAACACTTCAATTTTTACTTTGTCCCACTCGGAAGCCAAAACTGCCAGGTTTACAGTGCCCTCTAGTATCGCGCTGGAGCATTAGCTTTCATGTGCCACCCACTGAACTGGCACATCGCAGAAACATCGCTCACTACAGCAGATTTTTCCTTCAGTACTTTTGCAGAGTAACTGTACCCGGTGTGAGAACAGGAGCCTGGGCTGGCTGAAGCTGTGCTCAGAGCAGCGCCTGCCTCCGCTGGCAGGCAGGCAAGGCTCCTGGTGCTTATCCTTATCCACCGCTGTTTTAGGGTAAAAATGCATGTAAAGATAAAAATGCATGCTCTGCTTAGAGGGGTTGCAGTGACCAGGCTGCTTGGAAGCATGATATTCAATAGTTTGTGGCAATTTGGCAAAGTGGTATTAATAATAATTTGCCTTGAAATGGTACTTTGCAGCTGTTGCTGCATAACCACTAACTAGCAAAATGCACACTGGTGAAGGAGAGGGAAGGGCAAAGGAGAAAAACCTGAGTCATATGAAACCCATTAGACATTACCCAGTACCACATCCCAGCCAGCGGAGGTCACTTAATGCAAGGACTTCTCAGAGCCGTGACCTTCAGCCGCGCACGGGTTTCTCCGTGGAGCAGATGCAGGAAAATTCCTTGGTGGAATAGGACGTGGCACCTGCTGTAAGAGTGGGCATATGTATAAAGCACCTCTAAAGATTTCCAGCTGCTGGAGCAGCCTGGGGAGGCTGCTTGTCTCAGCCTGAGCCAACACTGCGCGGTGGTATTGCTGCTCCGAACGGCCCGGTGGGAACGGCACCGTGCCCATGGAGCTGTGGAGGCAGAAGGGAATCTGAAATTCCTGCTTGCCTCCAAAACAGAGGGGTGCTCTACCGGGGAGTTCTTCCCCAGAAAACCCTTTTCACGGGAGTTGAACTTAGACTATTTGTAAAAAAGCTGCCCAGATCGTTGTTATTCTAAGAAATCTTGCCAGTTCCTGGCAGCGAATGAGCTGGTTCAGATGATGCCCGTGTTACCCAGGGATCGTTCTTATGGGGAGAAGTGCTTCAGTAGTGAACTCCAGCAGGCACAGGCAAGCTGTTGGTACATGGGAATTATTAAGTTACATTAACAAAGCAAATTTAGAAAATGAATTGTTAGCATGCATTGTCAGATTCTTCACATCGCTCTTTATGGCTGCCGATGAGAAATTGGACAAAAACTGGCATAAAGATGGAGCTCTCCTAGCACCCAGCACCGCTGGCGTAGGCGCTCCTCGTGCCAGTGGAGTCCTTTCCTTTGAAATACATCATCACCGGAGAATGCCTCCTGTCAACTTAGGCACCACCTTCTAGTTACTTTGGCTCCTGGGTTATAAAATGCTTGAGCCACCCTTTCTTGGCTGCACAGCAGAGGCCAAAATCTGGTGAATAGCAACCACTGTTATTTTTTGTGAAGACAAATAAGTCTTCCTGCTTTTTAAACCATGTGTGAGGGCATAACACATATTAAAAATGAAAATATTACGTGGGATAGTAATCAGCGTGTCTAAAGGACAGGTAGAAGTTAGGAAAAGTGATAGTAAAATAATAGTGAAAGTAGGAAGTGTAAAATGTAAAGAGGAATCATAAGATGAGACCATTGGGATGTATCTAAGGGCTGAACTGAATCTTATTATTCTCACTGTCTTTCAGAAATCAGCCAGTTGAGATCGTGTTCTCTCTGTGTATTGTAGGTCTGTGTGGTACGTACAAATATATTTCTTTTCCTAAGTGTCACTGCGGAGCAGCAGGACAAAGGACGTATGGGGATAACCTGCATCCCAAACAAGTATCATCCCT